TTCTTTCCATCCTTAATTCTCTGAGTTGTTAGAGATATACATGAGATGGATTATGCTAAATTCACTGTACCTCTCTCCCCCCACCCCCTCTAAGATTGTAAGTAGGTGAACCGGAGAGTAAATTATCTGATAGAACACCTAGCTAACATCTAGTTGGTCCTTAAGTGAGTTGGTTGAGCTTAGGACAGAATTGCATAAGGAAACACCCTTAGGCATGCAAATATTAGTAAACAACATCACTTTACCTGATGCGATATAATACGGTAATTCAATTAAATCTTCTTGTGATTGATTCTGTAAATGCATACACATCTGAGAAACAATTGATTATCAGGTGAATTACGCTCTGGGGGCCCTTTATTATCTTTGTAACAAGTCTAACAGTGAGGAGATTTTGAAGCCTGAAGTAATTGATGTCATTGAGCGTTATGCCGAAGCTCAAACTGTAAATGTAAGCTTCAGTAACCTGGCCAAAGCATTTCTTGACAAGCATGCTTGTTGAGGACAAGGTATGACTCTCTTTATCTATATGAATTTTGATTGGTGTGGTTATTTCTTCTTGAACTAGAGGCTCCTGACAATCCAGTTTTTAGTTGCACAACCACTAGGAGAAATTATTCTATAGGCCCTTTCTACCACTTTAGTGAGGATCCCATCCAATTATTTTGAGCCAAAACAGCATTGTTTTCCACATTGGATTCTTATATCTGCTCTAAATTTCAACTCTTAACTCAGCCTTTCTTTCATGTCTATGAAACCACCGCCTGTAAATTTTTAAGCATGTTATCAGAGATTTCCACCAATCCAATAAATCTCAAATATCCTCATCCTTCTCCAACTTATCCCTTTCCCTTCTTTGGTTGGCTCTGCTTTTGCTTCCTTCAACAGTTTTTTTTCCAACTAGAAAATAATTATCAGAAGTAAAATAAACATCATCTATGGATTGATGGATTTTATTTCGTACTGATTATTTGGGGAATAGATGAAGATATGATGTGAAACAAGGATTCAAAAGGAATTTAAAAACGAAAGGGTTTCAAAGACTTAAATGACTATTTTCCTCAGGAGTTAGATTTTAGTTCTGACATGATTTGTAAAATCTGAAGAATATCTGTTTTCTATTATGCTTTTTTCTCTTCTATTTAATATTTAGACGTTGGAATTTTATAAGTACATAACTTGTATGTTTTCAGTGGCAAGAAAGCAGGAGCCTGTATCTATGTAATAATGTATCTAGTTGGGTGTTACTGCAAATCATTATCGGCTTTTAGTTGAGACATTAGATAATTTGATACGACTTATGATTATTGACCCTGTATCCTTTCCTGGAATGATGCCGAGGCCTCGTGAAGTTGATCTTAGTTGTTAATTGTTGTATTTGTTAACCAATTTTTATTCTTCTCAGTTCCCAGGGTCCGCCCCCGCTGCAAGATCAGAATCACGTCAACTAGTTCTTCACCTTCGCCTTATTCTGTGGCCCTGCCCTGCCTTGCCTTGCCTGGTACCCTCATAGACGCCAACTCCCCTGCCTCCTGGTGCCGAGCGTGCCGCGTCTACTCCTTCAGTTCTTTCCTAGTTGCATCACCCATCAAAGATAGCAATGACTTGGCAGCGCCTGGAGTTGGGCCACTCTAAATTTCTAGAAATGAAATCTAATTTTATCTTTAAATTTGATTATTTTTTCACATTCATCTATAAATATCTTTTTTGAAGTTTTGCGAATAAAAAAAAATGTTAATAGAAAAGATTAACTTATAGTTTGATCATCTTAAATTTATAATATAAATTTATATGTTTGTGATCCAACATAAAATTATATGTTCATTCTTAAAACTAAATGATATTGGTTTTGAAATAAAAATTTCTTTATTTGAACATTTAGATTTTGGGTAAAGTACATAAATGGTCCTCGATTATAGGATATTGTTATGTCGAGTCTTTTGATTTTTAAAAGTTACAAAATGATCATTCAATTATTTATTATGTTTCAAGTTCATCTTTTTTTGTTAAAATTTTAATAGTCTTGAGTCGTTTAAGTTGGATATTAACATGCTTATTGAGATATAATAATCGTTTAAGATTATAAGATCATATTTTATCATATTTTAATTAATAGGTTAACGTCTATTTTAGACTGCCTATAACTTTTATAAAAAAAAAAGATGAATTTAAAATATATGAATAATCAGTGACCGTTTTGTAACTTTTAATAATCCAAAATTTAATAAAGAAACATTTTATTAATAGGAAACTTAATAAAATAATATCTTATAGTCAAATGACTATTTGTTTACTTTACCCCAAGGTTTTATAGTATTTCAGCATAAAGAAAATTTGCGGAAAAACATTTTTTGCACGTGGACCGCACTCAAGCTAAGCTTTCCTTAATCCTTAGCCGTTTTTAAGTTACTTTGCTTGAAAGCTTACGAACAAATCCACATGTTTTTTAATTTATCAATAAAAAGGAAAAAGGTATAATTTATTCTCAATCTCCTTACCCTTCATATTTTAAAATTTAGCCCATCTGCTTATAATTCTAGGAATGTAATCTATCTACTATTTCAATCAAATTTCAATTGATATTTGTCGCAACCGTTTTTCGGTTGCGTCCGGAATTGAGTTTCGACTTAGATTAAATGAATTGGAGTCGTCACCGACCACTTTAAAATGAATTAAGGTGGGTCGGACACCATCTTACTTGATCTGCGTTGTACTAGAAACGTGTCGGGTTCGAGAGTCAGTTACGGTCAAGGAAGGATTAGCACCCCTGAACCGCCCTTTCAGTACCAATTAATTTATCAGTTGTCTTTAATTGCGAACATTAAAAACTTAAATTGAAATTTAAAAATCCAATTCAAATTACTTACCTTTGATTGGTTGGAAAAAAAAGTCGAAAATGTTAGATAAGAAATAGAAAACAACTATTAAATAAATCAACATTGTCTTCATTTTTTTGAAACCAAATTATGCAATCAAACAATCGATTATTGACCTAATTATGCTAATAGGTTAATTAAGGTTTCGTCTAACTAAAGTGTCAAATTATGGAATTAGATGACTTAATAAAGCTAATACTAAACTTGAGGCTCTAAATATTCATGCTAAATAACTATTGATATTTTAATCGAATAATAAAAAAACCTCAAGCAGAAGCAGAAACTATTTTAAGAAATTCCCTAATTATTCAAAGTGATTACCTAATAAAGGAAGGCTGATAGTTTTGAATCACAGTCAAGTAACCTCCAAAATTAAGGCTAAAATAAATACCATGGAATCACGAGCTAATCTAGAAATTAAGATATACCAAGTTTAAAGGGGAAAAGTACATGGAAACTCAAAATAAAAGTAAAGTAAAACATATATTCATGGCTAAAAATAAAAACTAATCAAAAGAATAAGGAAATAAAATTAATAAGGAACAAAGACATGCATGAATCAAGTATATTCCATATCAACACAAATGGCTTAGATCACGCACTACTAAACGAAAATGAATTTAAAAAAAAACATAGAATCAAGACGCAAATTTAAATGAATTAGAAGGTTCAAAATAAAACCAAAACTTTAAACATGGCCAAAGTGAAAACACTACAAAAGATTGAACCTTCCTCAAACCACTATCCCACATTTTCTAAATATGGATTTCTCAACCTTTACATACACAAAACACAAAGTTTGGGTTTTTGCTCGACAGCTTGGTTCCTGGTTAAGCTTTGAAAAATCTCTATAATGCTTGCTAATACAAAATTTGGTATCGCCCCTTGATAGCTTTGCCAGATGTCCTAAAAAGGCATCAACTCCAGGTCCTTTGAAGGTACGTCAGCCTCTCTCTCGTTTCCAATCTCCTGAGATCCAGATAAGATTCAAGTGCTTAGCTGGAACTGTAATTCCTCTTTGATCGAACTACTTCCATTTCTTCATTCTTTTTCTGTGGGCAGCTCGGATGATTAAGCTTACGAACGGCGTTTTCGTTATTTTCCCTTTGATTTCTCTGTGTTTTTTCCCCGAATACTATGTATAATTCTCGTATCCTTTTTTTCTATCTTGTGTATTTCCATGAATATTTATAGCGCTAGATTTCAATCCAGTTTTAGACTCCCATTAGGACTGAAATTACTGACTTGGTTGTTTTTCTGCTTGAGTGGGTACCGAGAATTTCAGTTTGTTGGAATGAAGGAGTTGCAGCTGGAACGGCACCTAACTGTTTCGGGTCAGACTTCAATAGACTCGGGTCTCGGGTCAGGATCCGGATCCGGGTCTGTGGGGCTCCATTTGTACTTGGGCTGCTGGATTTGATTGTGTAACACTTGTATTTGGGTTTTGGCCTTATTCTATAAATGAATGAAAAAAATAAATTAATATGTATACATAATAATAAAATATAGGCTATATAATTATAGTATATAATATAGTATGTATATATTATATAACATAATACATATACATTATATACCATAATTAATAACACATAAATTAATATATAAGTCGGACGAAAATGTGTGTCGACAATTAATATTTAAAAATGAGATTAAATTCTAGAGAATAAAAATAAAGATATGAAATTTCAACTTAATTTAATCTATCATTTTTTCAAAGTAGAGATTGAATTCTTGAAATTAAAATAAAGAGATCTAATGTCAAACGGGAGAAGCCTCCAGGGACTTGGAACATAATTAGACCGAAAAAGCAAATCCAGAACAAAGAAAACCGTAATACGTTTCCGTGTAGTTGAAAACCTACGCGTAACGCACGTGTCGAATTGCCTATTCCCGCGTCTGACGTGGAAGTACCCCATCGGTTCTTTGATGTTGGTTTTAACATTCTACCAAAACTCTTCTTTACTATCGTTATCAGACCAATAAAAACAGGCCACGTATGCAAAACAAATGATCACAATGAGTACACTTGATTTTCGCGCCCACAATAATAAAACACGCACGCCTTTCCCCTAACTCGGTGATTCTGACTCGCTGTCTATTTACACATTTTAACGAGTCAAAAAGACATTTTCATAAATACAACTTTCCGAAAATCCCCACATCCTCGTTTAAAAATGAAAATGAAGTGGCGGCCGACGTCTCCGTCGAAGAGATTGCTGCACGTGAAGGTGAAGCCATTGAAACTTGAAGGAATAACCAGAAACGAGGAGGAAGGAGGAGGAGGAGACGATGATACCAAAATCGTGGTTCTTGAAACGGTTTGGAAAGGACCCAAACGCAGATTGGCTTCGTTTTACATATCGTCGTCTTCGAGGCACAAGAGGAACCGCAGCAGCGAGAGAGTTTTTGGGAATCGGAAACCGATCGAATGGGACGATGACGAATTCGAAAACGTGTGCGATTTCTCCGTCGCTTCCAATGATTCTTGGGATGTTTTGTTCAATGTATTGCACGTACGTAAATTACAGAAATCCCATTTTCCTTTTAAGATTTCCGTTTTGGTATTCAGATTCCTTTTTGATTTAGGGAAAGAATTGTGAAGCAAAGAGTAAATTGGCGTTGGTCGGGAAGGTTTCTCTGGATTTGGCAAAGCTGGTTCCGGTGACGGAGTGTTCGGACGTTAAACGGAAGCTTCCGGTTGCGGTAAACGTTGACGGCGTCGTCGTCGAAGCTTCTCTATTCGTAAGTTTCAATGTTCTTTTGTCATCGATTTTATCTCGTTTTTCCAGCAACGGCTTCTCTCTGTTTCGAATATTTTATTTCTTGGTCTAACTATGCTTGTAGTCCTTATCATGTTAAAATTTGATATTTACAGTAGGATTAAACAATTAAGTTTTGCATAGTCGAGGGACTAACCACAAACAGACCAACTTTTATAACATCATTGAGTTTTCGTCTTTGGATTTTGTCGTTCTTAAACAGAGTTAAACTCATTAGAATTTCATTAAATTCGAATTTTATAAAATCGATTTGATTTTAAAATAATCAAATAAAATTTGAATTTAAAAATAAAACTAATAAATAATATTGATTTTTTTAGCTGGATTTGATTGAATACTTAATTTATCATTGGATTGTTTTTTTGAATATTTTTTATATGAACTCGGGTTGACATTTTTTTCCTTTTTTATTTTTTAGATTTTAGTGAGTTTTGCCGAGGTCAGAGGTTCTACAGACAAAACAGGAGGTGCCCAAAACTCAGCCGAGTCAATCAAGGAAGATGGATTCTTCAAAATAGTGAAGAGTTTAACCCGGCAGAAGGAGAAAAAGGATAGCTGTCACTTGAATTCCTGTGACTCGGACGAGTCACTGGTATTCAACTCAGATGGTTTGCATGGGAATGACTCTACTACCACGAGTGAAAGTAACAGCGGCGAGCTGAGTTTAGGACATGAGTTAGAATCGTTCCGAAGTTTGGAAACTCAGTTGGAACCAACCCAGAACAACATGGTAAGACTCTTCTCATGGAAGAAAAGACGGTTAAGTTTTAGATTGTTGAAGAAGAAAACACAGCCGTTGATTCAAACCGGAGAAAATTGCTGGGAAGGGAAGCGATTACTCAGCAGAGACGGACGAGCAACGCTAAAAGCCGAAGTGTTCTTTGCATCGTTCGACCAACGAAGCGAAAGAGCCGCCGGAGAGAGTGCCTGCACGGCACTAGTTTCCGTCATTGCCCACCGACTCAATTCAAACCAAGCCTCCATGCCAACGAGGCTCGAATTCGATAACCTCATAACAGAAGGTTCATCACAATGGCGTAAGCTCTGCTCCAACATAGCTTACACCAATGCCTTCCCCGACAAGCATTTCGATCTCGAGACCGTTCTAAAAGCCGATCACAAGCCTGTCACCGTTTCACAAGACAAATCATTTACAGGGTTCTTCAGCCCCGAGAGATTCGAGTGCTTGAAAGGCGCAATGTCTTTCGATGAGATATGGAACGAAATCAGCAACAACCGTGATCAGCCGAGGGTGTACATTATCAGTTGGAACGATCATTTCTTCGTGTTAAAAGTAGAATCGAAGGCGTGTTACATAATCGATACGTTGGGTGAGCGGCTATTCGAGGGTTGTAAGCAAGCGTACATGTTGAAGTTTGATGATTTGAGTTTGATGTATGGGAAGAAGGTGGGGGGAAGTGAAGAAGATGGGATGGTGATATGCAGTGGGAAAGAATGTTGCAGGGAATATATAAAAAGATTTCTAGCGGCCATAACAGTTGAGGAGCTTGAGGAAGAAGAAAAAAAGGGCAGAGTTTCATCGTTTTCTCTCACCGACGACTGCAAATCGATTTCATTATACTTCTTCTACTTCAATGGCAACGAGTTGACGAGTGTTTTTGACTCAGGGTTGATACATTGTACAGTGTTTAGGTTTTAGCACTGTGATTAATTTTCTATACGATTTTTTAATAATAAAAGTTTTCTATTTCTTTAAATAATAAAATTTTTAGAGGGTATCAACTAATTCTGAGCATCAACCAAGTTCAAATATTTGATTTAGGAAGCATGACCTTATATGGCAGCTTACGCATGGTTGGAATGTGAGAGACACGAAGATAAAGATTGTTATGCAGTTCTCAAGGCAGCTAATATAATCGGCCGTCTCGGAAATCTGTTCGACACTGAAGAACGATATGTTTGACCGAGCTTGATCAAAACCAAAGACGATTTCGACTTGTTAATTGAGTGTTTAAACGAATTAGTATCAAAGGAAGATGGTGCCAAAACATTTGAAGAATGAGATCAACATTGCTTGATCCAAACCTTTGATACATGGAAGCACAAACATGTAAAAGACAACATTCTTTCCACATTGCGGATCAAAGAGTCACTCCCGTTAGTTTGCTGTCGATTGCCTCATGTATCTGAAAGTCGCTAAATATTAGCTGATTCACATAAAGTAGATGTTGATGGTCTAAAGGGGCCGAAGTCGAGGATCCTGCAATTTTCACTCTTCAAGTCGAGGGACTCATAAGGAAGCGGTGGGGACAAGACAAAACTGCTGATCTGTTGATGGATCATGAAAGCATCTTTCTCTTTCTCGTTGCAGCATCCACATTCATCAGTTCATTCAACTCCAGAGAAGAGTTCAAAGGGTCATATCTGTTGCTCTTATGAGAGGAAGATAATCTTTTACCAATTGCAGGGGACCTGTTCCACTCTGCAATTATGGAATCGGTTTCTTGAGTCTGATCGCGTCCAAGGCAAGGTGTTGAAAGAGAGCCCAACTGCAACGATAGATCACAGGATATTCCGGGGTATGGTTTGTTATAAGATTTTCTAACACCTATTTGGTTCATCTTATTTGAGAAGTCCACGTCAAGAGAAAGAAGCTTATGACTAACACTCATCTTAGCAGGCTCGACTGTGTTAGAAATCGACTTATGGAAGATCCCGAAACCATGCCTCAGTTCTTCGGATTTAAGATCGTCGCCATAGTAAAGAGGATAAACTGAATACTTTTCTAAAGGTAAGCATTGGTTATTACTAGGAAGAGAACCATCCTCAGATGCAAAACCGGTGTAATAACCGTCCCGGTCAGTGTATTTCGGAGATTCAAAGCTCGATCGAATCACATTCGCGGTTGCGGGTTTCGTAAACCTAGCCAAGCAATGTGAGTCAGCCATGAGATTTCCTTGTGTAGCCGAGTTAAGGTAACACCTTGGACTACAATTTCGTTGGCTCCTCTTGGTTCTTCTTGGCGTGCAGCCTAAATTAAGAGCAGCTAACAAACAACAACAACAAAAGAAAATATAAACCATTAGTGGTGTTCATAATTAAGACAGAAAAAATCCCAGAAAGATTCAAATTGCAAATATGCAAATTTCAGCTAAAATTCAAACAGAAATGAAAGGGTACCTTCAATACAGGGTTGAAGAAGCTTTCCAGTTTCAACACTCTCATCTCGTCTAATGATTGTGTTAACAGCATCGTTTGTTCGATCCCAAAGGGTTTTAAGGTCCATGTATTCACCCTATGCAAAGTTTTTTTCATCAAAGTTTGGATTTCCAATCCATCAAATGGCAAAAACAACAATAAATACAGTGATCAAATACTTAAAAGTTAACATTTTTACCTCAGAATTTGCTTTTGAATACATGATTTCTTCAGCTTTCAAGACCACGACAGGGAGCTTCTCTTGCCATTCCTTGTTCTTCTTAGTTGATGAGTTATGGATTTCATTCACAACTCTAAAACAACATCACATACATAAAATCAGTGAGAAAACAAAGAAATCTACAGAGATAGAAATTAATTTTAGAAGAAAGAAGGAAAAACCTGAAGATTTCTTGAACAAGAGAACCTCTCATGCGTTGGTGAGTATCAGTGTGCCAAGCTTTTCTCTCAAAGGCATAAGGTCTTGGACCAAGTCTAGACATCTTCCAATGAATTCTTTCAGACAGAGGCTTCTAGTTTCTTCAAAGGGAAACAAATGCTTTTGGATTTTGGTTTGTTCAAGCAGCGAGCCAAATAGACAAAAGCATGAAGCAACAAATAAGCAGTGAAAGAAAGGGACTTGACTGCTGCTGTTGTTTTATCGTGTGCAATAATTTCTTTTACCCTTTATCTAAATGTTTTGATTGATGAGTTTGGTTTGTCCCCCACTCATACACATGCTTGCTCCCCTAGCCTCATCCCTCTCCCTCAACATATGTTAAATTATTAAAATAATACATTTTTACTTTTTTTATTAAAATAATATAACAAAAAATTTAATTTAAAAAGCGATACTTATTTTTGTCAACGAAGACACATCTATATATAACATCTTTTGAAAGATTCTTTCTAAAAAAACATTTTGTCTACATGACATATTCAAAATGGCATTAACATTTAGGGAAATAATAAGTGAAAAATTTTGGTAATAGAGTTTGGGGGTCAATTTAAAATTTTAAAAATTTTGGAGGTTTAAATTATAATTTTTAAATTTTTTGAATGGTTTAGTTTATATTTTTTTTTCAAAAAAGTTAGGATCTAACTAAAATTTTTAAAATTTTGAGAGACTTAATGGGAATTTTTAAAAATTGTAGGAATAAATTTAATTAAGAACATTAAAAAGTTTAAATTTAAATTTGAATTTCTAAAAATTTTGGAGGAATAAATTATTTTTTTTAAATTAAGGGTCAAAATTAAAAAATTTAAAATTCTTTGGATGGTCATTGTAACATCCTCAATATCAGGTTAGTGACTATATTGAAAAATTTCAAAAATTGGTGATTAAAGTAGGATAATTGAATAGTTCAATGATTTATTGGAAATATATGATGAAAGTTATTTAGTAATTATGTAATGAATTAAGGGGTAAAATGGTTAATTGACAAGTAAGATTTTTATTCTTCCTTAATAAGAAAATGGAACCACGTGGAAAGGGAGAGATTTCTCCAGAGTTCTCTTCTTCTCATTTCTTCTTCTTCACGTGGAAGCCAAGAGAAAATGTAAGTTTTATTTAGCTGTTAATTTCTTGAATTTTTAAATTGGATTTGAGTCTTTGGGGGTTATATAAGCTTAATGAAAGCTTATATAAGTTTAAAACACTAAGAAGAGAGAATTAGAAAGGAATTTCTATTAAGGGGTTATAAATGAACTTTTATTATAAAAAGGTTTTTGAAGTTCTAAGGATGAATTTGACTTGTCAAGGGTCTAATTAAGAAGTTAGAAGCAATAGAACTGAATTTGGAACATGTTGAAAATTTAGTGTAATTCTTGAATTACATATGGAGAATACGATTTTGATGTTAAAAAGGTGATTAATGAATAGAAATGAGTTTGAATATGAGTATGTAAGTTAAGAAAAAGAAAGGGGATGATATATGAAGTAATTAAGCTGAAAAGAGTGGATTTTCGGGCATAAATTGGAATTTTGGGCTAGTGTGCATCGGTACACATTCATCATGTACCGATGCATCAAGGGTAAATTTCCAGAAATTGTTCAGCGTGTATCGATGCACAGGAAGTGCATCGATGCACCCCTTAAAAATGGAATCATCGAATGCAATTAGTGCATCGATGCATAAGGAGTGCATCAATGCATAAGGAGTGCATCGATGCACATGCTAAGGGATTCATCGATACACTGTAGAATGCATCGATGCACTTCAAGGGGAAATTGAAATAGAAATCTCTTTTGGTCTAAGAAATGATGGATTAGAGTATACCAATGGGATACTGATATGTATTAATGTATAATTATGTAGATATCGAACATGAACAAGTTCCAGAACGATTATCAAGTTAAGATTCGATCGAAAGAGAGGAAATCATAAAAGTAGATTGGAACTTAGTTAGGCCAAGGTGAGTGCATCTTATTTTTATAAGATTATATGGAAATTGGACTTGTGATAAGTCTATTTCCTATAGTAATAGCTCATTAAGTCTTGATTATAAGTATGTTAACAATATGAAGTGTATGTATGTTTGATTATATGAATTGATATGTTTTTATATGTGCTATGTGGTTTATGTAAAAACACTATTAAGTGTTAATGAGAGAATATAAAATAAGTTATGAAATTATAGGAATATAGAAGGTAAGTCAAGAGATATATGGAAATAGAAATAGATGTCTATGAAGAGTCATAGGAGAATAAATATAAGTCATATGATAATGAAATATAATACTATGTGAATACATGGTTATGGGATAAAACATGTAATAATAGGAAAATATGATGAAAGTGAGTTCATGAGAAGTGATAGGAACTAGGTAAACATGTGTAACAGTATATGCCTAATAGAGATTTTTGATTTAATGAGAGTTAAGGGAACTAAATAAGATTGAATTATAGAATGAAATGAGAATTGTATATCAATTAGGAAACTTGAATATAAATGGATGATATGAATATGTAAGATAAGTTATATGCTAAAGATCTATGGAGCTATATGAAAAGATTATAATGAATATATGAAATTGAACTAAGTAAATAGATTAAATTAATACATAAATAAAATACTATTAAATGATATATGTTTATAAATACAACATAATTTATGTAATCTAAGGAATACAAAGAAATGGAGCATAAGGTAGATGATATGATATAAGTTATTATATATATATATGATATATGTTATCAAGTAATATGAAAGGACTTTGAAAATTGATATAAACTATGTGAAAGTGTTCTAGGTGTTTCTATGTTGTATATGAAGTATATATGATCATATGTGAACAAGATATGATATGTATGTTTACATAAATACCTGAGAAATGATCTAAGCTATATGATATGATCTACGTGATTATATGCACTTTGGATATATGTTATATGACATGGATCTATATGACTACGTGAGAAAGTATATAAGCTATGTGACATGTAAATGTGAATCATATGAAAATGTTCTACGTTTAAGTGAACTATGTGTATATATGAATATGTGAAATGACATAAATGACAATGCCCATGTTATGTGTCATGAGAGCTAGGGGTATAATTGGCATGCCAAGAGTCGAGGGTCTATGCGGTCCTTCGGGACATATATGTATTCTTTGGAACATGTGTGAGGTCTTTAGGGACACATAATTGATCCTTGGCATATGTATATGATTCTTAAGGAATTTTCTACATGGTCCTTAGGGACAATCTTATATGGCACTACGGTGCATTTCTACACGGCACTACGGTGCATTTCTACACGGTACTACGGTGCAATTCTACGTGACACTTCGGTGCATTTATACGAGTTGTGGTGACAGCATTAGTGCACAACCTCTATAGACTCACATATTTATAGTTCTCACATGTGTACATAGACTAATAAAGAAATAACAACAAACATATTACATGTGACTTGTATGCTTTTGTGCTATAATTGTATTATATGATTTATATGATGATATGTGGATTGTATGATTAAATGAGTCAAATATTGGTTAAAATACTAGGTATAAGAGGATATGTATTAAGTGATATAAACGATAATAATATTGATAATGAAATAAGGCTAAAGATGGAAATAATGAGTGATGAGTATATGTGTGTATATATGTTCTTACATGTAATGATATATTGTATATGTGTTATAGGGATTTGTTACATGAATAAGGGTATGAGTGATAGCAATAATTGTTCACGCATGATTACAAGCTATAGTTTATATTATATGTTTATTTGCCTCACTAAGTCATAGACTTAGTGTGTGATTGTTTCACACATAGGTTACAGAAGTGAGAAGTGTAAAGAGCAAAGTGGAGCAAGACAAGTCAGTTACTTCTTACCGAAGATCAGATCAGAAAAGATGTCTTGAATTAGATGTATTTTATACATTGAAAATAGTTGGCATGTAATTAATGTTTTGAATTGTATATGCTCTGACCGGTTTTTAAAAAAAACATTTAAGCTCTGAATAGTTCTGGAAATCTTTTGAATAAGTTACATGTATAAAAGTTTTAAATTACTCACTATTTTATACAAGTAAATTTTTTAAAAGTCAATGTGACACCTCGGACTCAGATCCGGGTCGGGTACGAGTTGGGGGTGTTACAGTCATATCCATTATTTTTCAGAACCGGACCGGTCAGCGAACCGGTCGTGCTACCGGTTCATTGGTTCAACCGGTTGAACTGGTCAGACCGGTCGGAAGAACCGGACAACGTCATAATTAATTATTTATTTAAAAAATTAAATAAAAATACCAAAAACATTTAATAAAAAACAGTTTTTTATATCACAAGTCATATTCAAAGCAAGTCATAACATATATAAGTTAAAAACCATAAAATCAAGTGAAACAAAATGATTCAAATCAACTACAACATAATATTTAAGGTAAAACATATTAAATAAAAATAGAATTATATAACTATAATCAAAAAATAAATTTGGGGCTAAAAAAATCATAACATACGATGTCGTTTGGTTTAAATTTTTTTTTTAAAAATCACACATGGCTAAGAAACATAGAAGATCATCACAAAAGTCTAAAGAGTAAAAATATGAAAACAAAACAATCCCACATGGCTAAAAAACATAGAAGAGCATCCCAAGAGACTTCTATAAATAATAGAGGTAATTTGACATTCAAAATCATGGAGTATTTTGCTGAGCACAGTGCGAACTATTCTTTCTCTTCAATTGAGCTCGAATTTCAGGCTTCAATCGAGCTTCTAAATTTTTTTTGAGTTCGAGTCTTTTTGAGTTCAAGTTTCAATATTATATTTCGAGCTCGAGTTGAACTTGATAATTTTTAGCTCGTGAGTTTTTGAGTCAAGTTGAACTTACTTTTAAAGTTTTCGAGTTCAAGTCGAGCTCAGCAATACTCAGTTCGATTCGGCTTAGCAATACTTGAGTTCTCAGCCGGTTCTATCGGTTTTCAATCGGTTCACGGTCCGATCCGGTTTGAACGGTTCACAACTGGTTCAACGATTCCTTCCGGTTCACTAGTAGTGGTT